ACCAGGGATGGAGATACTGTATATAGTTGAGTAACATCAGCATACTGATGATACCTCATCCCATGATGACGGATGATCTCACCCAGCGGTTTCATATAGATGTTGAAAAGGAGGAGAGAGAGAACCGAAACCTGTGGCACCCCACAAAGGAGGGGCCGAGGATGGGACCTCTCGCTCCCTATCACCACCGATTGGGATCGGCCCCGGAGAAAGGAGGTGAACCAGCACAAAACTGTGCCGCCCACTGCCATATCCCTGAGCCGTCCCAATAGAATAACATGGTCAACGGTATCAAACGCCGCTGAGAGACAATTATACTAATTGACAATATTAGTAGACAATATGATGTGTATGCATAAACTTGTATACCTTAGCTTGATTTCATTATTTTATTTTGTTTTATTAAAAATTAAAAGTATTTTTATCTCATTCTCATGTGGCCTTTGACATTGAGAGAAGCTAAACTATGAAATGAGGTTAATTCTGCCCAGTTTTGGCTTTTAGTTCATCTATAGTCAGCAGTTTCCTCTAACTAACATTTCCAGTGGTGCAGTTGTTCTTCATAAGAAGTTCTTCACTAGATTGTGCAATGCCTTGAGTCCAGAAAGTTGCTTCAGAACTTACAAGGGTGTGAATGTTGCACTTGTCTGCAATTCCCAGGTCACCCACATGATCCTGGGAAAAGTCATGGGTGCTTTAAGGACTTGTGGATCAGGGCTACATTCACACCCTTTTGTGTTCCGTAGGATCTTTTTGGAATCAGATCCAAAGTACTGCACACACTCATTCCTGGTATAAACCATGGTATTTTTATTTTTTATTTTTTTAAAAATTCTTTTTATTAAAGAGTTTTACAATGCTAAAAGGTAATACAGACTGAAATCAGAAAAAAAAAGAGGAACGGAAAAAAAGAAATACAACGTGCAAAAAGGAAAAGAGAAAAAGAAGAGAAAAGAAGAGAGGTAGAAAAAAATAATATTTAAAAAAGCAACTCCCAATCTTCCTTGCAACAAGTACAGGCAAATTAATAGTTCCCCACTCCCTATGAGATTACATACCTGATTCACTTCTTCCCATAGTCCATCTCCTTATCCATTCATAGATCCAAAAATCGTCATTTCTGTCCAAATGTCAGCAAAAATTCCATAAAGGGTTTCCAGAATTTTATAAAAATATTCCATATTTTAATCCTGATCAAACAAGTCACCTGTAAATTCCTTTCTTTTGCTTCTAACAGTCTTAATTTTTAGTTCATCAAGTTGCTGTTGTAGGGTTGAATCTCCATGCAGACTTTTCTTCCCATCTTAAAGATTTTTTCAAGGTTTTAGAAACCTTTTGTAAATCCAGAAATAAGTCCTTGTCCAGGTCCTTTTTCATCTCTTGATTTGTCATTTGTGTTTGCACTCTGTCATCTCTGTTTTATAATCCTCTATTTCTTTATTTCCCAATATTTCTCTATCAGCTAGGATTTGTATCCCCTCTTCATCCTGTCTATACATACATTCTTCCACATTTTTGTCTGTCACATCTTCTTTACAATCTTCTTCAAGAAATGCATTTACAAGTACAGAAATTATAGCTGTCAGATTTGTTATGAGTTTCTCTCCCAGTTCTTCAAAAATCCTTTGAGATATCTCAAGTGTCATACCTTTAATTGTCATTTTACAGATTTAACTTTTCTTTTTCCTGCCTGGAACTTTAGTTCCCACTAATGGCCCATTTCTATATTCATGAAGTCTCAGGTTTCATTATTACTTTCTTTGTTTTCAACTTTTCAACCAATGGTCTCTTTTCTGGTAGATTAAACAATTTGTATTCCCACAGAAATGTTGTTTTGTTTACTAAATTTTTCAAAAATATTAGCAAAAGTTCTAATATTCCAAATTCATCTGGTCCCTTAATCCATTTAAAACTTTCTTAACTTAAATTCTTATTTAGGCTTGCCATTTGTTTTATGTTCTTTAAGTTCTTTAAACTGCTTGTTAACTTCTATTTTGGGATGAAATTTTACTTACCGGGTAGTTTTTCAAACTTCTTGTTTGGAAGACCTCTTTTAACTGTAAAATAATTATAAATCCAAAAGTGATTAGAAAGTGAGGTGGTCGAACTCAGTGTCCTTAAAGGCTCTGCCACAGTTGGGAGCTTGATGGCTTTCCATCTCCTAGCACTCAGACCTGTGGATGACTGCTATCCTGTGGTCTCCTCATAAGGAGCAGCTGTCTGGAGCATAAGTGGGCAATCTCTTGTCCTCTCCTTTACCTGGAGGGGTTTGTTGGATTGAACTTGCTGTTGGTCATCACTGCGTCATCTCTACTCTTTCAGAGACATCTAGTTTGTCATTTGCTTCATCCGTAAGCCCTAAACCATGGTAGTTTTTAAATGTTAGTCAGTTTTTAAATTTTTAATTTAAAAATATCTTATGATTATTTTTACTGGGGTTTTTTTTTACATGTAGTATACCACATTAGTGATTTTTTCAAAAGGATAATATAGAAATAAAAGTAAAAACGACTGAGATTTTCTGTTGTAGGGTGTCATATAGTTAGTGATCTTCAAGGAAGAAGGAAAGACTTCCAGGAAGTGGAGTTGTGGAAGCAGTGCAGGATAATGGGGAGAAAAGTAGGGGTTGGGAAAGTCATCAGTGTTAAATTAAAGAGAGGACAGTCTGATATCTGACTGCTCTTTGACTCTACCATAATGTGTAAACTTTGGCAAGGATGATGGAAGACCATTTCTTTTTTCTGCTTATTATAATGAGACTGCCTTTTCCTTTGAAAAATGAAGCTATTTGGAACGTCCAGGACCCTGGAATATTTGATTCATATGTACACATTTCCATTTAATTATTTCCTTCATGTGGTTATTGTATAATTTACATTACAACTTTTGGTTAATTGGATGTTAAATAAAATTTCTCAGCACACATTGCAGAAGTAGGAAGAATGCAATGTTAGTGAAAATTGCACCTGTCAAGTTATTTTCTACCTGGTTCCCTGTGGCTATAAAGGGAAGTTTGTGAGATCATAGTTTACAGTTACCTTTATAAAGTCAAATACAATAACAAGTCTGAAGACCTCCAAATAGTGTATTTCTTTCACTCTTTTCTTTAGGATGTGGATACTGCTGTTGTTTCAGATACTACAGATGACTTGTGGTTTCTCAGTGAATCTGCTCCAGATAACTTCAGTGTCACAGTACCATCAAAAATAGTTGGTTGTGAACAAGCTAATGAAGAAGGAAAAGAGGATAGTAAAGTAGTAAGTCCCAGTAATTGGAAGATACTTGTTAAATCAAATGAGTCTGGATGGTACTTTTATTTAATCCTTTGTTTAGCTTTTAGTAAAATAGTATCCTACACTTTCAGGTTTAGAGATCTGCAGTATTATAGACTAATAACAAATTCCCTATATAACTCATTTCATGACAAAATATCCCAAATGGCTTCTTCTGTACTGAATTAATTAAAAAAAAATGTGTTTAGATTTTCAGCTGATTCAGTAAACTTTTAAAGAAAGAATAACCTCCATAAAGATGATTTTGCAGGTATCTCTCAAGATTAATGCCATTACATGATTACACAGATTTCATTGTGTATTTTGTATATAATCTGTTGTATAGCAGAATAGGAAATAAACCAGCATAGGATTTGGTCTATGGGAAAGCTGGTCTTGCTGTGTTACTCTTGGCAGTTGTAATTAATATAAGTATAATGAGATTGCTTGAAGAATCATGGTGATAGAAAACTGCTGAAGTTGCAGATGAATTATTTTGGAAAAGTGTCTGAATGTAGCTTTTAAATAACCTTTTACAATTGGAAGTTGCAAAAAAAAGAAATATGAAAGCAGTGTATGAGACAGCCACTTGATAGCAGCACAAGTGATATAGAAAACTCTTAATTCTTTCTACCATCTAGTGGCTGTCCATATTTTTGCAGCCCAGATCTGGTAACACTAGTGTAAATGTTCATATAGTTATTAGTTACAGATTCCAGTCCACATACATCATATTATTGTCATATGAAAAGATTGTGGTTTACCTTAGTAGTCCTGTTGAAAATAACACTCTTTTTCTTTTGCTATGGTAAGAAATTCAACATTAGGAAATATTTTTATATAGATTTTGATATAAAGCATTGACAAGTCTAATGTTTTTGCACTTTAAGATGCTGAAATGGCAGTATGTCCCTTTTCTGATTTATATATATATATTTATTGTAGGTGAGTGAAGTTGTATCTTCTGATGACCTTGAAGATTCCCAGTTCTTAAGTGATGACACAGATACTGATGTTCCCTCTGAGGTGTGTTATCTAGACTTAGTATACTTGATTTGATTATAATATTCATGGTTGCAAGCTTGGTATAATTTGTTAAAACAGTGTTCTTTACGACAGTTTTTTCTGTGCTTCTTAAGAGGTAGAGCCCAACTGTTCTCATTATTGTTGTTTTTTATTGGACAATCCATCTTGTCTAATTGAGCTAAAGAAATTCAAGGTAACTGTTCAGTCATTTTATGCTTATTTTAAGTTTTTCAACTTTCTGTATCATTCTTCCATTCTTTTGATCACTGGGTCTGATTTCTAATACCCAGTTTTTTGAGCTCAGACTTCTGAGGCTCCAGGATCAGTTTTCAACCAGTAGCTGAAATGATGAAGTGCACAAAGTAATTGGTTTAGAAGGCTTTTTATAGTCTCTTTGTGTCTCACATAAAGGTTTCTGTACTTGTGCAAAGATGCAAGTGAAATATTCTAGAGCTGAGAGGATTGGGGAAAATGCTTCCTATTTCTATCATTGTGCATCCCCATAGCGACACTTCTTTATTCTGCTTAGTTCTGTCCTGATTACTGTAGCTTTAGCAAAGATCTAGATAATGTATCTTGCTTTAGAAGAAAAGATATTGCAGGTAGAAGTTAATATCCCTGCTGTTTTTTTCCTCACTTAATTATATTTTTGCTGTCATATTAGAAATAAATTAGGAGAATGGGGAAGTGGCTAGAGAAAGGGACTGGGATGTAAGGATGAGAAAACAAAAAATCCAGCATAATTTATTAATTGTCTTTTACATTTCTACCCATATTACGTATGAAGGAGGCAAATATGTGAAACAAATGATGCTTCTGCCATTTGCTTCTTCAGTCCTCCCATTAGCAAGCTAGTTAAGGGCCTGGATGGCATGTCTATTAAGTAGATCTGTATCTGGCTTGAAAATCATTCTTGTAGAGCGCTCATCAGTGGCTCCTCATCAGAGTAGACTAAAGTATTAAGTAGGGTGCGAAAGGTTTGTTTCTGGGCCCAGTAGTTTTCAACATTTTGATTAAGGGCTTGGATGAATAGGTGGGAGGAATCTTTGTCAGGCAGGGAGATGACATAAAACTGGTTAAGCTGTCTCAGGCTTGCATAACATATGGCCCGCAGACTGCCAAGCAGTCTTGTACAGCCCACCAGTATTTTTTTTTAAAAAATAGCCAATCCACTGCCACCAAATGTTGCTGCTGCCAGGAAGGATCTGCAGGTTTTTGTAGTCACTTCCACCCTGAAAGACACATTGCTGAGTGCCTCTGGGCCTCATGGACACTGCCAGCTCCTTTGCTGCCACCTGCTGCTAGCTGCCAAACAGCTGATTGCAATGCCAGTAAATCCCTTGTGGTTCGCAGTTATTTTTAAGATATTAATCTGATCCTTTCCCTCTGCAGGTTGTGCAGGCCTGGGCTACCTAATATTCTAAAAGACAGAAACACAATCGAAAATTATCTTGATAGGTTATTTTCCTATTGAAAATAACAGTGAAATTTAACATTATAAAATGGATATGAAGTGTCTTATAATATCAATGATATTCCAATGATACTAGTTTTTTTGCTGTTTTACCTTTGTTGTTTATTTGCCTATATTTCATTACCTGTACTTGATTCTTCTGTCAGTAGCAACTATCTCAGATGGGTTCATTTATTTAGTTATTTATTTATTCATTCATTCATTCATTCATTCATTCATTCATTCATTCATTCATTCATTCATTCATTCATTCATTCATTCATTCATTCATTCATTCATTCATTCAGTTTAGAGGCTGCCTGACTCTTAATTATTCTGGCAACTTACAATTAAAAAAGTAAGAATCATACCACAAAAGGAAAAAATTCATGAGCGACTTCAAATTAGACATATGAACAAAAACCCATCCAACAGGGGCTCAGTCATTATACTGCCCCAAGGCCTGGGAAAATAGCGTGGTCTTCTGTAGGATTCTGAACATCATCAGGGTAGGAGCCATCCAGGTCTCGGGGTGGGGGGGCTGGATATTATTCCATAGGCCAAGTGTTGAGACATAGATGGCATGCTTCTTGGGTCCTGCTAGATGACACTGCTTAACTGATGAAACCTGAAGTGTGCCCACTGTGCCCAATCTCACTGGATGGACAGAAAATGCTGGAGACAGGCCCTATGCAGTGTGTTCAGGCAGGAAAGGGTGCAATTGGCATACTAGATGTACTTGTACAAAGGCCCTCTGGGCCATAGCTGTCACCTGTTTCTATGAGTCAGCAGTGTAACATGCTGCTAAAAAGACAAATGCAACTTTAGGCTGCATCAGTACAGTAGAAGCATTATTTTTAAATCATGGTCAGTAAAAGTTCCACCGAAATCTGTATTAGACGGACCCCATACGGTGCCCAGTTTCGACCACTATATTTTAAGTATTTTTCAGAGATTCAGGCATATTTGCAGAGAATAAAGGTGAGAATGATTGAGGGATTTCCTTATTAGGAAACTCTGAGAATGAAATTTAATGCTGAAAAAAGATAACTGACAGCACTTTTGAAGTATCTGAAGGGGGAAGATGCAAGTAAATGTCAAAACTCTATCATCCCAGAGTGTAGGACAGAGAATAATGGTCTCAATTTATAAGAAAGAAGATTCTGGTTGAATGTTAGGAAAAACATCTTAATAGTAAGTGCAGTTCAGCAGTGGAGCAAATTACTAATCAGCGTCTTGTAGTCAAGCGGAGTCTGAAGAGCCATCTGTGCAGAGATGCTTAAATTTGAATTCCTGCACTGAACAAGGGGTTGGACTTCTTGCCCTGAGTAGCTGCTTCCAACATGGTGATTCTGTTATCTGTCCAACCTAGGGGACACCACTGTTCCATTATTCTGTGCTCTGATTTATTCACCTGGTTTTACTTTGCAGAAGAAACATATACATTTTCACCTCTATATTGCAGACCAAGCTTTGTTTCTTGAATGTATTTTGCAACATGTGTCATCTTGACAAACTTGCCATTGGTCAAATGAATTACAATTTTAAACTCAAAAGCCATCATCCTTGTATGTAGAGTAAGCAAGTAAACTACCATCAATTGTGTAGTTTCAACAGATTGTATATAGTTATGGAGCTGAGAAATTAACTAATTAAAGGGCTCTTGAATTTAGAATGTGATATTAAAAATTCTGTGTAGTAAAATGATACCCTAGAATAAAAGTGAATGTGCAGTTAATGGGAAAAGGGCTTCTTAATCAATGATTTAACCAGTGACTTCAGTGTTTTTAATAAACAAATTAGAATATTGATGGTTTTAATTGAGGGACTAAATGGGCCACTGTTGAAGGCACTTAAGTTATTTCTTCTTACAGAAGGAGAAAAACAGTATATGAATCCATAGATCTATGATTGGTTTGACTGCTTCTTTTCATTCAGCAGGACAGTTGGCAATGCACCAAATGCAAGAAGTTCAATTCTCCCATTAAACGGTATTGCTTCCGCTGCTGGGCCTTAAGAAAAGACTGGTTCTCTGACTGTCCCAGGCTAGTGCAATCATTGTCCACATCCAACATTGCCATAGTGCACAGTAAAGAAGACCTGAAAGGGATAGATGTCCCAGATTGCCGAAGGACAGTATCTGCTCCAATAGTACAACCTAAAGACTTGTGCAGATCAGTGGTCAAACCCATCCTGTCCTCTAAAAGCTCTATGGATTCTTTGGATCTGGCCCTGGGATGTGAAGGCAGAGAACCTTCTCTGCAGTTTGTTAAGTGCACAGAAAAAGAAGAAGTGCAGTTCCTTGAGAATAGCGAAGAATTACTGAAGCCTTGTCTTGTGTGCCAGAAGAGGCCACGGAATGGGAATATTGTCCATGGAAGGACAGCTCACTTGGTAGCCTGTTTCACATGTGCAAAAAAATTGAAGAAGGGACGATCAGTTTGCCCAGTCTGTAAGAAACAGATTCAGAGGGTGATTAAGACATACATAATATAGCTGTGTCATTTGTTTGGATGCTATAGACATTTGGTATTCAACTATTACAAGATAATGCTATGTGCTATGAGTGTGCTTTCAAGGAAAGAAAATAATATATTTTATTCTGAATTTGCAAAATAATCTATTTCTCAGCCATTATATATAACATGAAAATTAATAGTTAGCCATTTCAATTTTGGAGGAGAGCTGGTATGAATTAGAATTTAAAAAGTTATGTTTATAATCTTAGTCAGAACTTGTTCATGCTTAGACCATTTGCTAACTGTAAGTTAAATAATATGCATGCAAGTGTGCCACTTCTAAAGTCCACAAGTCTTACTGCTAAATGTTGCCAAGATGTGTTTTTCTTACTAATCATTTATAGAGCATGTAATTAATATTTCTTTGTTTGTTTTGCACAGACCTTGTAAGTAATGGAATTTGTATGTAAAAAGGATATACTCTAAGTGACAAGTTTATATCTTGTTATGAATTATGGATATATCAGTTCAAGACCTAATTTGAATATTGCCCTTTACAAAATCTGTGCTCAGGAGCAGGCGTCCCCAGATCTTCTGATGTCCCTGTAATATTAGATTCAGCAGAAGAAAATTCTGCATTAAAACTGTGAAATTTCTCACTCAGAAGTAGAAAATAATGTTTCTGCAGCTTAAATCCATGTTCTGTTTTTGTAGTCTGGTTGTCTCCAAAATGTATCCAGTGCCCATTGAAACCTTCGTAAGGACCCCACTGTGTCTGGATATAGCTTAAGTGCAATGATTAGCTGACCATGAATAGGACAAAGTTGATTGTTGCAGATTTTAAACCCATTAAGTTTCTTCTGCATATTTACATTATGATGCTTTCATAAAGGCAAAAGAAACAATCCCTTTTACATTTGTAGGTTTTTTTAGTTCTAAACAAGTCAAAAATTCAACCAGATGACATTCTCCCTAACTAATAAAGTGGAACAAGTCATTTAATGCAGTATTAAAGGGAACCACTCTCAATTGAAGTTGCTACTGAATTACTATGCATAGTCCATTGGTGTCCACTGCTCTGACATTTATGCAACCAGGCTTTGTTGATGTTCTTTCCTCTATCTAGCCGATCTCCCATTGTTGCCTTTCTTTAGCACATTCTGTTCTCTTTAGAATTTAGGCTCAGAGATAAGCAATTTGGAAGATTTAGGAATAATCTAAAGTAGGTTAAAGACAAATTGCATTCTGTGTACCAAAAATGGGACTAGGGAAACTGTTTTGAATATGCAAATCACATATTTTTTCTTATACTTAGGGGTCCTGTGAAGTAACATACCTTGCATATTAAAACTTTTATTTTTATAATCTCCATTTATACCTTTATTTGGGATAATTGTAAGATTGTTACTAGCCATGTATTTCTTGAGCCAAAGTGGCAGTAGCATTCCTGCCTCAAACATGTAATCTTTATCTCTTCTAAGCCTTTTGAATCAAGACGGTGACTTTGGGTATATTGTTGAACTGGCCAAGCTAGAGGAATTCCCTGCATTTCTTTTCTTTTAAACCCTTCATTGCTTTCTACTTTAATAAGTGCATTTTCAGAGGCAGTTGTCAAGGCCAGAGACAAACTTCCTGATATTTTGGATTACAGTTCTAACCTTTTCCATTAGCTATGCTCACTGATGGGGTTGATAGCATAAAGATCTGGAGAGCACCAGCAATGTCCTACACCATCACATGGGTTTTTTAAACTATTCCTCCTTGCTTGCATTATCAAAAGAAATAGTGCTCAATTTTGAACAGTTGGTGCTCACTCAAACAGTGTTATATATAGTGGACTATGGCTATACCTGAGTTAGAGTAAATTTGAATAAGTCAAGACAGAGAAGCTGTGATTTAAATGCAGTGCCTCATACCCATTAATTTAAATTGGCTAGTTGAATTTATACTGCAAGAAAAGTTTTTATGACATTTGCATTATGTCATAAAAAATTATATGTCCCCCTGGTTTGTTTTTAAATTTGTTATTTTCCTTAAATTTCATATTTCACTTTCAGTCAACTTCCTGTAGCAAAGATGGACAATTTCAAGGGGAAACGTTTGAGAGAATTCAAGCAATATAATATGTTTTCTCCCACAATCCCTGATCATGGAGTCAGATACTATATTGCATGTGTTTTTCCCCCCCTATTATATACAGACTGATAATATGTAATTATTTCTAGTTTTTGTGATATGTGTGTATGTGAGAGAGATAAAGATGGATTATGTTTTTATGGTATCCTGCAAAAATAGAAGCTTGGGGGGGGGGGATAGGTTGTGCATATTATCCATATGTTTCTAGTGTGGAAATTTCTCCATAGAGAAATGTAGCTTTTTTTCCTCTGAATGCTCACATGGAATCTCCAAAAATGGTGCAGTTTATTTTTCTTCTTTCTGACTACCTTAAGCTAAATGCGTATAAAGTTGCTTTTTGCTGCTTCCATGTTCTAGTTCCCCTTCTGTTGCAAGAGAGTGATATCTGTGACTTTGATTTTGGGGTCTAAACATTTTTCCATCTTTAACTCTTACTATATGCATATGGTGCATAATTTTGTTAAGGTGCTCAACTGGCTCATTAGGTGACTCCTGTTGGTAGAATAGGATGTGGTTTCATAGAATCACTTTTGAAGTAAAGTTGTCATTTTAAAAAGATGCTTATTGTGTGAAAATTGCACAAGAAAATAAGTGAAGATTTGCTGGAGATGCTTCTTAAGTTATTTCATGATGGTCAGAGTTCTATAACAATAGATTGACAGCTTGCATGTTAGACCTTTTAAAATAATTGAGCATTCCTTCAGCACAAGATGATAAGAATAGATAAGGAATTACATCCAGAAGAGCTGTAACCAAATAGTCAGTTCCATAGTCCTCTCCTCCCACATTGTTTTGATTTTGTGTTGTGAGTTTCTACATTCTTCTTTAACGTCTTGATTTTACTGGCAGAGTTTGTAAAATGACATAGAAAAGCATGTATAAATAATACAAGCTATGGAGAGATAACTCAATGATACTTTCAGTTCTATGTGAATTCTTTCTTTTAAACAGCTACTATTTAAGAAGGTTACCGGTTAAAAATAGTCTTTTTTATAGATTTTGTAGTCTTAATTAAGTCTGTGGTTTGTACATGTTCTATCATTATTAATATATAAATTTATAAATGTATTAAATATAGTGCTATTCAGCAATCTGTTTTGTCATGTGGCACTTTATTTCAAATGGGGATTGCCACCTGAACATTTTCACCTTTAATCACAAAACAATAACTGAGTTGCAGGGAGGATAACTTACAAGATAAACTAATTAGTGTGCAGCATAACTTTTCTAGCTGGAACTGTAAGTGACTTAATAATGAATGCAGCCAGAGAGGTAGTTTCAGCAAATATTGTTCCCACCAAAGGGGAATCTGAACTGAAAGCTTTAAACTTCTGCCCCTAAAGATCAGTTGCTCCAATTGTATGTCATTATTTATTTATCTTCAAACATCACCAAGCTTAAGCTTGAAATGCAACAATTGGACTTTTTGCTGTGTTGCTGTCATTGGTAGCTGCTTTATCACCCACCACCTATGAAATAGCCAGTTCTGCATGGTAGTCATAAAAGATGGTAACTGCATCACAAAGCTGGCAACCCAAAGTAAAATAATAATGTATTGGGGATACATATCTATCCATCTGTGTATACAGTATAGTACCATGAGTGTTACATTATTACTTGGAGGAGCCAGAATTTCATCCCTCTCAGCTCTGAAGTTCATAGACTGATTTTGAAGTTAAAAACAGAGGGAACTATTGGTATGGCAAGCTGCTTCTAGCAGAGAGGTTAAAAACATGCACGCTATTTAATTCTTCAGTTGTCCTTAATGTGAGCATTTGATAAAGAACAGCAGTAGAAATAGGAATAAACCAACAAAAGAAACTGCAAAATCATGGTGGTATTTCTTTGACAGAAACTTCACAGCTGTGTTGCAGCTGTGCAACAAAAATTGTTGCATTTTTCTCTGTCCTCAGATTACACCACTGGATTGGGCAAAACAGTTGTTAACAAACCCTGCCTGCATATTGTGTACTAACAATTTGCAGAAATGAAGCTCTGAATAATAAAACAGTATGGCTTATAGAGCCTTACTTTAGAAAAATATTGGTACTAATCATAAATGTGCCTTCTGATATTTTTGAAGCAAGATTTTGGTCTGAGTACACACCTATGACTGGCTTTGTGTTCAGGAAGTAGTTCTAAAGGATTTGGATTAGTTTTATTTTAACTGCAGTAAATGGACTGCTATCATCACCACTCTACTGACATACTAGATATGTTCAGGTACGTGGGTCAGTGTGCTCTTTCAAGGCTGGAGACTGAAGTGAATAGTACTCTCCTAAAGTTGGTAGAAACATTTGGGAGGATAGCTGCATTTACATAAGATTCATATTCTGTCCCCAATAAATTCATTAATGTGAACCTTTTCTGTTGAATGTCTTTCTAGCAGAAATGAAAATTTGTGTTTTCCTGATTATGAGGGTTTTTTTAAAAAAAAAGCTGTTAGCCTTTATGTGCATTATATCAGAAGGATTTTATCCAATGAAATTGATGTGATGTTTTCTTGACATGTCAATAAATAATACAAATGTGTAGTTATTCATTAACTCACCTGTTTTTCTTTCTATTAAAAAATATAATGTGGGTGTAATATGTGAAAAAAGACCTTTACTCACAAGTAAGGGCTTAAAGTGTAAGAGGAATTTGCCAAGAAGAATTTTTTATCTGCTTGGGAGATTCATGGGAATGAGCTATTTAATATATATTGCTGCTTTTATAGCAAAAAATGTTAGGGGCAAACAAATGTAATGCAGAGATTTGAAGAATCCAGACTTCACTGAAAATTGTAATGGTTTCTTGAGAACTTTTCTGAATAAAGTTCAAGAAATTATGTTAATTTCTGTAACACTTTGACATAGAAATAATTTCTATGATTTAGCTTCAGGTTTTTTTTCACCTATTTCATAGCATCTGTCATTTCTAAATGTAAGAGGAAAATGTAGAAACAGCCAATATTTCCCAATAAAAGGCTTGCTGCTATGTAAACTTATCTAAAGTATTCCTCAGTTACAACTAGATGGCAGCAACTTCATTCAAGATGTAATCAAATGAAATGTAGCATTTACACAGCTCCCAGTTAAGCTAGGAAACTTGAGTTCAATAGTCTGAATATTTATATGGCAGTCCTGTGAGGGTATCTAAGATTCTAGTGTTATCTCAGGTTTCTGCTAAAACCCAAAAATGGGATTATTAGGGTTAGGCTGAATAACAGCTGTAGCATCATCTCTGTGTCCAGTGAAAATTGGCAAGCAATACTTTGGATTTAAGATAGCTTTAAGCTTCTGGAATGTGAGTTAATTGGACCAGTCCAATTAAAATTTTGCTTTGTGATATGCCTGTGCATAGCTATGCATAAAGTGTATAAAAGTGTATTCCATTATACACTTTTCTTGTTTGTTTGTTTGTTTTTGCATTCTATATGATTGTTAGAGAGCCAGTTTGGCGTACTAGTTAAAGGCACCAGGCTAGAATCCAGGAGACTAAGTTGTAGTCTTTCCTTCAGTGCGAAGCCAGTTGGGTGGCTTTGGGCCAGCCATTCTCTCTCAGCCCTAGGAAGAAAGCAGTGGTAAACCACTTCTGAAAATGTTGCCAAGAAAACCACATGGACTTGTTCCGGCAGTCGCCAGGAATTAAGATTGACTCAAAGGCACAATCAATCGATACGTTGCTTAACATGAAAATATGCCCACCCTGCTCAAAGGTTATGCCTGAACAGGAAATACCAGCCTATGTGGAGGGCATGGCCAGCAATGGTAGGATATTGACAAGCAGATATCTTCTGATTTCATGTAGCTTCTGGTGGGCTCAAAACTGGTAGTGACAAAGGAGAAGGAAAATCATGATCCAGCGTATGCCTGTTGTAAAAAATAAAGATGCCAAACTGACATCAGCAAAGGACTCTAAAGCTTACAAGACTGTAATATTATTTGTATGGTTGGAAAACTGCATGCAGAAATTCCTATTTGTGGAAAAGTTGCCATGTTGGGGATTTTTAGCTTAGGGGAAAAGCAATTAAAGCAGAACTGTGTGTAAAAAGCACAGTGTTCAGAACACGGATAGTGAGAGGCTTTTTGTGTGTGTGTCCAGAATAGACAGGCCAGGATTATCCTGTGATGCAACTTGATGGAGATTTAGGACTGATGGAAGAATTTATTACTTCATTATAGATTTCTCTACTACAACCTGTAGTGATAGTTGCCAACTTGGGGAGCTTTCAAAGACAGATTTATATAAGGTTAAGTCCACCAGTGGCTAGTAATCACGACAGCTATATTTCACCTGTAGTATCTGAAGCAGAATGCCTCTTTATACTATTTTTTTTAACAAAAACTGCAAGAAAAAGCATTTGTTCAGTTCCTGTGATGCCTTTGGTTCCTTTTATATTATCATGGCCTTGCCGCCTCCACTCCTGGCATTACCTGCAATAAGGAGAAAGGATTCTTAAGAGTTTGATTCTCTATAGCTGGTTGCTGAGGAGTTTGATAGCTGATACTGCTCTTCATATGCCTTCAGTTCTGCAGAAATGCAAATGTAAGACATTTCTCAGCAGAGGCTCCCCAATTACAGAGATTCATGTAGTACCAAATCTGCTGCCATGTGTTAGCAAATCAACGTTCTTACCATTCTATCTGGGCATGTTAATGTGGTTTGTGCTATTTGTTTAACTTAGTGAACAAGTTTGTGTACATTTTAAATGTTTTATCTTTCATATTGTATTTATGCTGTATGTTGCTCTGGCATCAAATAAAATGAGTGTTGGTATAAAAATGTTTTCAGTGTTTTCTTGAGTATTTTCCACAGAGAACAGTTTAACTGAGCTTTAAGACCACAAACCATAATGCTTCCAAAATGGTTCCCATCTTTTTCTCCGTGGACTGAAACTCCTTACCAAGGTTTCCAATTATATTTTGGCTAATCTTACACTGAAGAATCGTTTTCTAATCCATTAATACTCTCAACTTTTCTTAAAACACTTTCAAATAGTTATACTGGCTGACCAATGCTTACAAAAATTTCTGACTGAATTAAAGAAGTGTCTATGATATTAGCGGTCATTCTGCATTTTATTTACAGTGCATTTGGAAAGTATTCGGACCCCCTTCACTTTTTTCAATTTTGTTATGTTGCAGCCTGATACTACAATTGTTCAAATTCATTTTTTTTCCTCATTAATCCAAATGTCTGTAAATTTATTAAAAAGGAAAAACTGAACTATCACATTGGCATAAGTATTCAGACCCTTTGGAACAACACTTGAAATTTAGCTCAAATGTCTGTAAATTTATTAAAAAGGAAAAACTGAACTATCACATTGGCATAAGTATTCAGACCCTTTGGAACAACACTTGAAATTTAGCTCAGGTGTCTCCCATTTCTCTTGATCATTGCTGAGCTGTTTCTACACCTTGACTGGAGTCCACCTGTGG